CCCCAGATACCGGTATCCAACCGTGTTTACGGAGTTAGTCGGCGAAATAGATTATAAGAGAAATGAAAATCCTTTTATATACATTTTTAAGACTCTAAAGGTCTTAAGACTTTATTTATATAGGAAATTAAACTATTTTTCCGGATTTAAATCGCGTATATTTGTTTTTTCAAACAAACCGACGTTTCGGGCCCTTTACAGGTCCCATGGTCACGGTTGACTGAGGTGGTACACAGTCTTCAACCAGTTATGTCTAATATTGATGCAAACCACCCTACTTTTTCACTATAGTTACAATAGTTATTAATTAAATACCTTATTTTTAATTTTACAAAGAAAACAACCAATAAAATGTGAATTTTATGAGAAATCTCCAATGTTGCCAAATGCCATACCTTGTCGTAACATAATAATTTATGACATCGTTCTTGAAACCAAGCACTGTCGTTGAAAAAACATGATTTGAAAGTTCAAAAAAATACTGAACGCATATCTCATGCGATCTTATTGCGAATAATGTAATTATTTTTCTTTATACATAATAATTATCCATTTATAAACGAGAATATAATTTTAGTGATTTCATTCTGTTACCATTTTAAGTTTCGCATCGCGTTTTTTAATAATACCAAGTAACAGGACGAAGAAGCTGTGCGCCTGGTGGTAAGGGACACGCCTATCCGTAATAGTTGCAGTGCCACTCAGAGCTTTAAATCGCAAAGATTTTAGGGGCACTATCACTGTAGCCTTATTACCAGAGATCGGAATAGGTAGAGTTTTTTTACCTCAGACGCGTATTTTGCCCTCGTAACGGAAAAAAGGCACAACTGCTGTGTAAAGTACGCACAGTTGTGCCTTTTCTCGTTACGAGGGCAGTATAAGTAGTGAATAGGCAGGTTTGGGCGAGCGTTTGATGTGCAAATCTATAGAAGATAGGTCTAATAATACGTCTGTAGTGATTCCAAGACTAGATCGACTAAGACTTTGTAACGATGGGGCACTAAAGGTATTGTCCCATCCAAAAAATACACATTTTGTTTTTTTCCTATTAAACTATTACAAATATGGCAAAATGTGATATGACAATATTTAATTAGGACAATAGGATCTCTCGATTGACATTTTTTTAGAGAGGTATCGTGAAAAAAAATCCAATGTTTCGCTGATCCGACCCACCGTGCGTCGCAAAGTTAAGATAAATATAGTGTCCCCAATTACGTCAATTTTTAATGTTCCTAAAGTGATTTCCCGAATTCTGAAAAGGTCCAGGACCTAATAAATATTGTCGTAACGCAGTTCTCATTTACTGTATATTCCTCGGAGTTTAGGTAAAAATACTCTACCTATTCTGATCCCTGCTTATTACCAAGCCTTACCTCAAATGTAATAACTTGATAAACGCCATACTTAGCATGGGGACATGTGTACTTAAATTAGTCGATAAAGTAGGCACGACTGTAATCGCTATAGAAGAAGTACAAAAAAAGCTTTGCCTTGGACTTTTTTAGCATAGTTATTTTTAGACGACTTCGGTGACATAGTTCTTTGCATTCTAGGTGCTAATTAAGTTTCCACTTTCTATTTCCGGCAAAACCAACAGAGTATTCAACCTAACCTATCACAAAATCGACAATTTTTTGTCCGAAATAACGTTTGTTCGAATTTTCATTGCACCGAAAACCGAATTATAACGAAATAGTTGTTCTTTCAGGATATGTTGAATGTTTATCGTAAAGACACGATTAGGTTAGGTTTAAAAGTAAAAACATTTTCCTCTCAAAATTACTTTCGAGGTTATGAATTTTCGACCAAACGTTATGTTGTGTCGTAATGATTAAAAGACGGCGCAATTAATTAATGCGATTTATTTCTATATAATTGCACACTACACGTTAGGCAAGTCGGGCGCGAGAGAGAGAGAGTATGTGTGAGCGGTGCAGACCAATGCACCACACATTCGGATACACTACAACTCTTCCCCCCTTAACATTACAGAATAAACAAAACTTAATACTAACTATAGATAGACCCTTAACATTACAGAATGAACAAAACTTAATACTAACTATAGACTCTCTTCCCCTTAACCTATGAAAAACAATAATCTACGATTTCCAAAAGGGAAGGCCCTGTCTGAAGGCACACTACACGTTAGGCAAGTCGGGCGCGAGAGAGAGAGAGAGTGTGTGAGCGGTGCAGACCAATGCACCACACATTCGGACACACTACACGTTATTTCTGGAAAATGTCATTTCAGACTACTGATAGGTAACCGAGTATTTGAGTTCACAAATGGCGGAGTTATCGCGTAACATACAAACAAAAAAAACATACAGACGAATTGAGAACCTCCTCCTTTTTTAAAGTCGGTTAAAAAGTAGATTTTTATATATAATAGTTCATGAACTATACAAGCCTAGTCTTGTCTCTGCAGCATGTACGTTGAGAACCTCCACCTGACAATATCTAGATACACTATCACAGGGCCCGAATTGTCTAATCGTTCCAATACGATACTCAACCAAACCGATAAGGCTAGATTATTACAGTGATTGTCTGGTACATTATTTACATTTAGCATATTATCGCTGTCAATAATAAAAGGATTAAGGCCGAATAGTAGGCCGAATATCAAGACGCATATTATTTTACTAATCAGTCACTTTACACCGATTTGAAATAAGGAGGAGGTTCACGAATAGTGTGGTAGAATAGGATAATGCAACATATAAATGAATTTATTTATAATTTACTTATACTGTAACCAAATTTGACATAGACTTTAAAACGCAAATAACATATAATAATAATAACGCAACACACTCATAGCCCCGCACTAGGGAAACCCTGTATTGCGGGTGCTATGGACACACACATAGACAACCACAAATTAAACTCAAACTCACGAGATAAATAAATGTAGGCCATACACATATTTCTCCAGGCCTGGTAACCGAAACCAGGACCTCTGCGTCCAACATGGTGACCGTTCGGCCACAGATGCAGTTGGCTTCGACTGTACTTGTTTTGTATGTTTGTTAGGGCCTGTTCCCATTATGTTGTAACGTTTTATTTATCGTTGTATGACTCTCGCGACTAGCCTGTTTCCATATCACGACTATCTGTCGTGGCTGTGTCGTGTATGTTTATTTTATCGATGAACGACTGTCGTGTCTAGCTGTTCCCACTAGACCGTGACGATAATTTATCATTTCACGGTAGCCGCCTTGTCGTTTGCGCGACAGAATCTCCATCACATTGTTATCGGACGACTGTCGTTCGAGCTCTTCCCATTGCCACGAGTCTCTCATAGTAACGTCAAAAAAGACGTGAACGACAGTTAATCGTATTGTTCTATGCGTGAACAACTTCATTTAAATATACAAGCCACGACACTTTAAACTTTACGACTATCTGTCGTTACGACATAATGGGTACGCGCCCTAACGCGATTATTTCGACATTTGTGAACCGATTTCTGTGATTCTTTTTTTTTTTTTGTTGAAAAGGGGTATCTCATTGTTCTCTGGTACCATTCAAATTTGAAGAAATTATTCCACCTCTAACATCGGTGGATTTTTTTCGGTCAGTTTTATAATTTAATTGAAAAAATAAAATTTATTAAGAAAACCCGATTTTCAGTAATTAGCAAAAACGTGCTTGACCCCTGAACCCTTTCGTTGTGTGTGGATAAAGTGGCAGTACTTCCCTGGACGAACTCTTTCACAAGAAGCTCTCATGTTAGTCAAAACATTTACATGAAACATCAATGTTATGACACGAAACTACGTAGATGACCTTGACGCATATGAGAATGTCTTTTGTTTATCAATGACTGTAGTTTATATAGGAACAAAGTGTTTTATATTTGTTACTAGTGAAACTACACGTACATGGCACTTGTCAACTATATATGGCGGCCTCGTTGTCCCAACGGTTTGCATCGTGGGCGTGGAGTCTTCTGAATTATTATAATTAGATCGAACACTTAGAAAAAAATCCTTCGTCCCAGCTGGATTTGAACCAACGTCTTCGAAATTTATTACAAGGAGGGCAGAATTGGTGTGGGGTTTTCAGACACATTACACTTGTGATTTATAGGCGATTGCATCGACACAGTCGCTTATGTTGAATCATTATGTACGAAAAATTGTATAGGTTTATGCACATTGTTTTGTTAATCGTAAATTTAAAAGTGTAATTAGTAAATACTGTAAATAAATAAATCAGTTCATTTAAAACGTGTATGGCGTATTAATCGCGTTTGCATCCCTGCTTAATTTTGCATCGCTCTTAGGGTCGTATTCTAGAACTCTACTCAATTCTCAAGTCAGGATCTGAGTATGATTTCAAGCACTGGAAATACAACCCTAATGGCAAGGACTTGAGTATGATTTCTAGTGCTTTGAATCATACTCAAGTCATGACTTGAGCATTGAGTACAGTTCTAGAATACGTCTCTTAGAGTGACGGATGCGTGTATCGAAACTGTTGAAAAGTAATATATACTTATAAAACTAGGCTATATGAAAGCAATCCGTTTCTGAGCGACAGTAATGTCGTTTGGTGACGGTCTCGCGCATGGTATTGTTTTGTGAGGAATTTAATTTTAAGTAATAGAAGTTACAAGAAATCTGGTTTATTATTGTTCTAATTCCAAGGTGAAACCACCTTGCATAGTGTCTCTATATTTAGGAAATTTTGCCTGTAAATTTTGAAGTATTTTTCTGTACCCTAAAAATGTCGCTACAGTGCATAGATCTCTAGATAGCTGCAGTAGAGCTTCTGGTGAAATAGTTTGTAAACAAATCTAATGAATTATTTAGTTTAAAATGCTATTGTAATAAAAAGAAACAAAATGGCGTCACTAAAAGATATCAGACAGATATCTTGTCACTGTTGAAGCGCCCAGTGTACACACATTAACAGTTATTGTTTTCTAATTAGGTAATATTGGTTTTCGATAGTAATATAATAAATATTTTTTCTCCATTCTGCAGAAGCTTCAAATGTGTGGCACCGAGAACGAGATGCGGGAGGTGGCATGTAGAATTTGCAAGAATTACCTCCATGGAGCTTGGAAGATTGCGGAGCCAGCAGATTTGGAATTTCGGAGAATTAGGTGAGTCTACCTTACGTTACATGGTACCGTGTAATACAAGCACATGTGTTTTTTACGTCACAATTGCTTTTATTACACACGTATCATAAACCCTCTATGAAGATATAAACTATTTTATTAGAACAATTTAGTAATAACATGAAATTCGATTTTATTATTACATTAAAATTTCGAACATCTCTGAAAAACAAAACAATTTGATTTAACCTCAATTCCAATATCACTCGAGATTAAGTTTCATTCGAAATGAAATGTCAATGGCAAACAATTATGACAAATTTCACACGTTACTTGATATAGAACGATTTGATAGTTGGGGCCGACTCTAGTTTGTGTATGAATTAAAAAAAAACTACGGTTGCGTGAGAAAAGTTTTTATTTGCCGCCATTTCGCCAGTCGTAACATGCGATTCCTGAACACATGATCTGATTTTTTTTCCGTACAGCTCTATGCTACCATAGACTATTCATACATCTTTAATTGAAAAGTAACCTCCCTTTTTGATTAGCAATTTCCAAATAGGATTCTACGATGTTATTCAAATGAATATTGTTGGAAAAACCGATGAGATATCAAGTCATTCGACTTATTCGAGTGATTACGTTAGAAATTCAACCAAACAGTTTTGTTAACATTTCGTTTAAAATGGATTGAAACAGACTATAGGTAATTGGATTTTGTAACAAGTAACTACCTATTACCTGGATTTATATTTATGATTTTGAAAAAAAAAAGTTTTTAATATTCAAAGAATCATTTATTCCACAGGTAAGATAAATTTACAATAGAAAACGTCACATTTAAGCTACTGCTCGTTCACTACGCTGACTTCCCTGCGAAGAACGAGCAAGAAACTCTAGGGATTGCTCTTTTGAAATAAACTTAATTGCCATGGAATACACTTTGAATCAAATTTGTGTGGAATCGCCATGTCGTCTGTCCATACATCTTTATCTAACACTTAGTATAATATTTTGCAATACGACTTTATTTTTATCTTTATTTATAATAGCAGAAAATAAGGTTATAGGCAGCAGGCAGAGGAGGAGGGAAACGCTTATGTTTTATTATTACGTTAGCGCTCAAAAAACTATGGATATCAAAAACATACTTCAAAATGCATAAAAAATATTAAAAAATTGTAAAGATTTATTTTATAATCCAGTATCGTACTCCTATTTTGAACTTCAATTGCTACTCGAACTCCAATGCTTGCAAACTCCTTCACATCAGTTATACAATGTTTTATTTATACAACAAGTGATTTGAAACTTCTATTGAACGAAATTCGTCACAGACATGACTTCAAGACCAATGGCGTAATTAAATTTCGAAATTGTGGTAATTGCGAAACAGTCGAGATGAAAAATCGTTTGCATCGTGTATATAACCAGAAATAGAGACGAAATGTCATCTAATTTGTTTGAAAAGTATTCTGCCAAATCATTACGGTGACAACGCGCTCCGATTGGCCAGCCCGAATTCGAAGCAATTGACGGGTGTCGTCAATTGTTTCACTTCAAATCCACCAGTTTAACTTGAGCTTTGTATAATGGACGAAAATTGAAAAATTACGTATTTAATATTTAATTACCGATGAAATGTGATTCAGTTTGTAATTAGATGTGTTTTCGCCACCCCACCGAATGAAACAGGTCCCCATTATTAGAAATATTATCTTTATTATAATAAATACAAAATATTTTTGGAATATGCGGACACAGGTCAGCCCAGCAGTAGATGGATGGCCCTTATTTCGTCGTATATATGGTGGTTTTGCTTGGCTCTACCGATCGTTTTATTCCGATAGCAGGTAATGATGCTATATATATATATCCAAGTAATTATTATGCGAACTAAACCACAACAATTAGAATTCAGTTCAAATCTAGATACTCGGATTACGGAATTATCTAAGGAATTTGAGGTAATGTTAAGCAGTTTTGATTTTGACTAATGCCTTGAAATAACTGCAATAAAAGTAGTGAACGGTCAGCATTTTAAAAAGGATGATTTTGCCATCTCAATCTGTCATTACTCGTGACCATGTGATCCGTAAAAACTCGAATCGTTACCTTATTTCTTTGTAATTTTGAATAAAAGTATAACAGAGAATGGAACTAACCATCGCACATAGACCAGCTGCTGGCCACCAGAGTTCCTCGTCAAAATTAAGAGGGAAAACTTGATATATACATGCCTGGAAATAATGCTACATTTTATTTGTGTCACCGCCTACTTTTCTTTGTCAATAAAATATTTCTACGTGTAAGAATACATGTTTTTCCATATAACTAATATAACAAGAACGCAGTAATGATCACGATCGAGAAGCATCCTTTCTCCTACTGAGCTTTATACATAATCGTTAATAAGCGTTATACAATATTATGCTACAATTAACCAGTTTTATAAAAAGTGTTTTCTGTTTGTAGTTACAACATTTTGCACAACACCGCTCCAAATTAGTCAATAAATACCTGTAACAGTAATTACAGTCTAATTATCACACCAATAAAACGCATATTTGAGTAACTTATAGTTTTTTAACACTTACCACGTCGTTCGAACTATTCTTTATTTCCGTTTTTTCCATTTAGTTCTACTACGCACTTAGCCGATCTTTGAATTTTAAACAAGATCAAGAAACAAAAACATCTTTATTTCATAGGTAAGCAAATTATACTTGAAATTAATGTCCCATATTAACTCTACTACTCATTGAATCCAACGAATGAGTAAGAAATTCGTCGTGACTTGATATTTAAATGAAGTTGTTCATTTTATAATACAACACGATTAACTGTTCACGACTTTTTTGACGTTACAACGACAGACTGTCATGACAATGGGCAGTGCTTGAACGACAGTCGTCTGACGATAAATAAAACGTTACAATAAAAATGTGACAACAGATAATCACAGCTTCGAACGATTCTGTAGTGCAAACGACAAGGCGGCTGCCGTGTACCGATAAATTGTCGTCACGATCTAGTGGGAACAGCTAGACACGACAGTCGTTCAACAATAAAATAAACGTCCACGACACAGTCACGACAGATAGCCGTCATATGGGAACAGGCTAGACGCGACAATCGTCTAACGATAAATAAACGTTACGACATAATGGGATCGCGCCCTTAAAATGTCGATCATTTATTGTACCATCAACCATTGTTTTTCTTTAGACTTTAGCCTCAACCGTGGCTTAAAAGATAATTTTTTAAATTATAAATGGGAGAGGCGGCTTACCTTTCAAAACCGGAACGCAGTAATTAAGTAGGTATGATTATAGAGTACTTTCACAGTGAGATCTACTGCTGCTGCTGTCTGCAGATTTATCGCACGTACATTCTTCAGGATTGAGAAAAATATTTCAAAACGATGTACAGGCCAACTTTTCTAAATATAGCAAAGTTACACAAGGTCGTCTCGATGCGTGATGAAATATGGTTTGTTTCTTAAATTTAGTTGGTGTCCAAAATACTGGCATCTACTTTCGCTAAAAGTTTGGCCATCATTTGACGAACTCACTGGTCCAACGGTTTGTATTTTGAATGAGGAGGTTCCGATAGGACCAAAAGCCGTGGTAGCCTTACGGTTTGTCCTTTCGCCTCTTAACAAGAGGTCGGGGGTTGGAATCCTTCCTCGCACTTCTGAGTTTCTTGGAATTTATGTGGGAAATTTAATGTGAAATTAATATTTCTAGTTAAAGATCAGCATTTTGCTTCGTCAGTAGGTACTAAAATACAAAAAAAAAACGGATTTGCAAGAGATTTTTAACTTAAAAACCTAATCTAACCTAAAAAAATCCCGCCCCGTATCGTCGTCATGACTCAAAAGTTCCCATTATACTGGCCAGCATTGCGTCGCTGGACGGCAATGGACACTTTTGCCGCCCGCCAAGTGACAAAAAAAATTTTTTTTTTTTTTGAGATATGAAAAACCATATCCCAGTTTTAGAATATTGAAATTGTTTAATGATATTTATATTTTAAGGCTTTCGTGGTTATTTATCACTAATTTCAGGTTTCTTACCACGGTATGTCTTCTTTTTATTTTCCCGATATTTCGGGAAATATCGGGAAAATAAATTTCTTTAATGATGTTTCAGCTACGCATTGTTAGAGTAACTTCCGATAAGTCGAACAGGTTAAGTAATTTTAATTGTATTTAAAAAAAGAGTTTTGTAATGTACTTTTGCTATTTACAATGGATATTTGACCATTTGTCACTTAGCCGCGTATTAGTTAATGTACGGTAGACTTGCTGAACCAACCACCAACCAGAGCGGTGATCGCAGCCCCTGTCTCTTGAGTCGGCGACCCGACTCTTTAAAAAAGTCCCGAGCTTCCGAACCCCAGGGCCCCGCGCCGCCGTCTCGAGCGCGACTGGTACGAATCCGTACATCGGCTGCAAAGCAGAATATTTAGCATGTTTGGAATTTATCAAGAGCTTTTAAACATCGTGGTCCTACAAATCGAAGAAGGTTTACAACCAGAGATAGGCAGTCCCATATCATTCCTACATAAGTTTTGTTTATAGTGTCCCTCTCTATCAACCTCTTAATTATGCGGGAAGGGCGCTATGACCTGTACGAGCAAGCTCGCACAGGGACCATCTAAGTCAGATCCTAACCCCGGATCAGCACATTTACACGTACTTCATCCGGTTCTCTGTAAGGCCTGCAATTACAGCACCCTCCCTATTTTCCAAATAGGTACCGGAGCTCTAGACACGCTCACTTTCCGTCCCGCTCCGCAGGACTAACGGTTGGAGGAAACTTTATTGTTTTATGTTTCTGATTAATGTCTATGCTTGAATATATCGTGTAGTTACTCATACAATATTTTATTTTTAACTTTAAAGTGGATATACCCCTCTAAAATCAAATCGAAGATTAGGAATTTTTCCTCTGCTCCCTCTTAATTTGTTTGAAAATTATTCTGCCAAATCATTGCGGCGCTCCGATTGATCGGCCCGAATTGGAAACAATTGA